AACAGCATCCTCTTTTAAGACTTTGAATAGCTCAACTTGGATACCTCTACTAGCTTTGTTGTTAGTAATGCTTTCTAAGTCCCATTTGACTTTGCACTCCAGGATGTCTGGCTCGAGGTCAGTGATCACACCATTGTGGTTGTCAAGGTCATTAAGGACCTTCTTGTATAGTTCTTCTGTGTATTCTTGCCATCCCTTCCTAATCTCTTCTGCTTCTGTTAGATCCCTCCCATTTTTGTCCTTTATCATGGCCAGCTTTGCACGGAACGTTCCCTTGATTTCTCCAATTTTCTTGAAGAGATCTCTAGTCCTTCCCATTCTATTGTTTTCCTCTATTACTTTGCATTGTTCATTCAGGAAGGCCTCCTTATCTCTCTTTGCTGTTCTCTGGAAATCTGTATTCAGTTGGTTAAATCTTTCCTTTTCACCTTTGCCTTTTGCTTTCCTTCTTTCCTCTGCTATTTGTAAAGCCTCATCAGACAGCCACTTTGCTTTCTTGCATTTCTTTTTCTTTGGGATGGTGCTGATTGCTGACTTCTGTACAATGTCACGAGCCTCTGTCCGTAGTTCTTCAGGCACTCTATCAAATCTAGTCCCTTAAACCTATTCTTCACCTCCACTGTGTATTCATAATGGCCTAGTGGTTTCCCCAACTTTCTTCAGTTTAAGCCTGAATTTTGCAATGAGTAGCTCATGATCTGAGCCACAGTCAGCTCCAGGTCTTGTTTTTACTGACTGGATAGAGCTTCTCCATCTTTGACTGCAAATGATATAGTCAATCTGATTTTGGTGTTTCCCATCTGGTGATGTCCATGTGTAGAGTCGCCTCTTAGGTTGTTGGAAGATGGTGTTTGCTATGACCAGTGAGTTCTCTTGACAAACCTCTGTTAGCCTTTGCCTGGCTTCATTTTGTTCTCCAAGGCTAAACTTGTCCGTTATTCCGGTTAACTTTTGACTTCCTACTTTAGCATTCCAGTCCCCTATGATGATACGGACATCTTTTTTTGGTGTTAGTTCTAGGAGGTGTTGTAGGTTTTCATAGAACCAGTCCATTTCAGCCTCCTCTGCGTCAGTGGTTGGGGCATAGTCATTGAGTTTTTCTGCCATCTCCCCATCTTCCTTTAGCCAATCCCTTTATTCATTTGTCATCCAAAGGCCCCATTGCTTCTCTGGCTGATTTCCTGCTCCAGATATATTTTTTAAAATGTTTATTGTTTGTCTACTTATTCAGAACAAATATTATGCCCTCTCCAGGAACCCACCTAAGGTTATAAAATGAAAATAATAAAAACAAAATAGTAAAAGATATTAAAATCCAGCAGTGTGCTCCATCAGCTATTGGCCCATCAACCACCACTCAAGAGTACTCATGTACCATTGGCTGAGTGCTGGATCCGCTCCTCTCCCCTGCCCACTGCCAGCCTGGATACTCTTCCCTCACAGAAAAAAACTGCCAAAACGGCTGTCTCTCCTGACTAAGACACCTCTCCTTCTTGGCTCTTGTGAGACTAACTTTTCCCTCAGTGGCTGTTGCTAGGCAGCCAAGCTTGATTCTGTCAGTAAAAAGGCAAAGGAAGGAAGCCCTTTCCAGGCCTTTGTGGGGAACTCATTGGGCCCATCCTGACTACAGTTGCCACCTCCAGATTGGGAAATTCCTGGATGTTCTGTGGTGGAGTCTAAGGAAGCCAGAGTTTGGGAGGGGAGAGGCTTCAGCTGAATAGTAGAGCCCACCCTCCAAAGCAGTTATTTTCTCTGGGGGGGGGAGAGAGATGTGTTGTCTGGAGTTCAGTTGTTATACCCAGCGATCTTCAGGCTCCACATGGAGATTGGCTACCCTAGGCGTAGCAGTTAGCATTTCAGAGCGGGGTCTGCCAGACCCAAGTTCTTGCTGTGGAAGTTGAGTGGGTGATTTTGGACCAGTCACAGACTTTCAGCCTAACCTACCTCACAGGGTTGTTGTGCAGATCCAAAGGGGGAGAGGAGAATGATGATAACTGCTTTAGTCTCCACTGCAGAGAAAGACTACTTTTCCTCCTAGGGAAGCATTGCTACAAATCTCCAGGTTTGGGCTGAAGATCACTCAGAATTACAACTGCTCTCCAGGTGGTAGAGATCAGTTCCCCTGGAGAAAACAATTGCTTTGCAGGGTGGACTCTGTGTCATTATACCCTGCTGAGGTTGGTTCCCTCCTACTTGGGTTCCCACTGAGGAGGAGAAAGACTGTAGTTTTCCTAGGTAGAGGCTACAGTTGGGGGAGAGAGATGGAAAGCTGAAGTCAGAGGGGCAAATAAAGGTAGGTTGATGGTTGGCTGGGAAGGAGACAGGGTTGCCAACTCCAGGTTGGGAAATTCCTAGAAATTTGAGGGATGGATCCTGGAGAGGGTGGGGTTTCTGGAGGGATGGGACCTCAGACATGTGCAATACCATAGACTTCACCCTCCAAAACAGCCATTTCCTCCTGGGAAAACATTGTTGCCAATCTCCAGGGGAGGGCTGGAGATGACTCAGAATTACAACTGCTCTCCAGATGGCAGAGATCAGTATCCCTGGAGAAAATGGTGGGCTCTGTGTAATTATACTCTGCTGAGGTGGTCCCCCAAGACAGACAGTGTGATGTAGCAGTTAGCACTTCAGAGGGTCTTCCAGACCCAGGTTCTTCTTGTCGAAGTTGATTGGGTGATTTCAGACCACTCACAGACTTTCAGCATAACCTACCTCACAGGGGTGTTCTGCAAATTAAAAGGGGGAGAGGAGAAGAAATAGAAACCTGAAGTCAGAGGGGCAGATGGTATGTTGATGGTTGGCTGGGAAGGAAATAGGGTTGTCACCTCTGGGTTGGGAAATTCCTGGAGATTTGAGGGGTGGAGCCTGGAGATGGTGGGATTTGAGGGGGAATGGGACCTCAGATAGGTACAATGCCATAGACTCCACCCTCTAAACCAGCCATTTCCTCCTGGGGAACCATTGCTGCCATTCTCCAGGTGAGAGCTGAATATCATTCAGAATTACAACTGCTCTCTAGATGGCAGAGATCAGTTCCCCTGGAGAAAATGGCTGCTTTGCAGGATGTACTCTGATTCATTATACCCTGCTGAGGTTGCTTCTCCTCCTGCTTGGGTCCCCACTGAGGAGGAGAGAGACTGTACTTTGATGGTTGGCTGGGAAGGAGATAGGGTTGCCACTTCCAAGACAGGTACAATGCCATAGACTCTACTCTCCAAACCAGCCATTTCCTCCTGGGGAACCGCTGTTGCCAGTTTCCAGGGGAGGACTGGAGATCACTCAGAATTACAGCTGCTCTTCAGATTGCAGAGATCAGTTCCCCTGGATAAAACAGTAAGCTCTATGTCATTATGCCCTGCTGAGGTCACCACAGCAAATTGATGCTGAGTGCCCAAGGCCAGGGCACCTGCCCAGAGCCTCTTTCTAGCGCTCATTATATTTATTTCCATAATGGGCCTTATTCCTAGTAAAACTATAAACCATAAAAACAGACCACTGACAGCTTAAAATAACATGTTTCTTGACTAAAAATAGTGCTAAAAAGATCGGCCCCTTAATTAAAGCCTGGGTGAACAGTAATATTTGGGCCTGGCGCCTAAAGAAAAAGCAAAGTGGGTGTCAGGCAAGCCTTAAGGGCATTCTGTAAGTGAGGTGCAACTACTGAAAAAGCCATGTCTCTGGTTGCCACCTGCCTCATCTCTGAAGTCAAGAGCACAGAGAGCAGAGCTTGTGGGATAGATCTTAACTAGCAGGCTGGACAATGTGGGAGGAGACAGTCCTTCAGGAAATGGACAACCATTATAGATCTTTCAGTACAGGGATGATACACTTACGATCTCCCACTCCTAACAATAGACTAGCTCCTACTTTTTGGACAAACTGAAGTTTCCAGACTGTTTTCAAAGCCAGACCCACATAAAGTGCATTACGAAATTTAATATGGATGTAATCAGAGATGCAGCCAAATCACACTTTTTTGAGATATGGCCATAGCTAGCATATCAGCTACAGATGATAAAAGGCACTACATGGTACAGAAGAGATCTGGACCTCCATCTGTAAGTCAGGATCTGGAAGTATCCCAAAGCTACAAATCTGTTCCTTCAGGGGCAGTGCTGCCCCCTTCAGGACAGAGTAACTTCTCAGTTCTCACACATCATTGTCATTGACCAGTGGCACCTCAGTCTCGTCTGGGGTGAGATTCAGTTTAGTGGCCTTCATCCATTACCATCTTCAGGCATTTGTTCAGAACTTTTGCAGACCCACCTGCCTCAGCTACTAAGATGAAATAGAGCTGGGTGCCATCCTCATATTGGTGCTGCCTTACTCCAAATCTCCTTTCACGTAGATGAATGGGAGACAAGATGGAATCCTGCAGGACCCCATAGTATAATTCTCATGGGGCCAAGCAGCACCGTCTTCTGGAATTAGCCAGTCAAATAAGAGTGAAACTGCCAAAACACGGTACCCACACACACACACACAGCAGGCGGCAGCTAAAAGGGCAAAATCTGCAGAAAATGGAGACATGCCACTCCCATTGTATCTTCTGTTTGCACAAAGACTGCCTTGGATCCATCCTTTTCCTGTTTGTAGCACTCAGCTATTAGAATTACCACTCCTCCAATACTTAATTTTTCTTTCAGATTCACAGCTTTTCCTTTTATTTTTGTTTGACCTTCCACTCTACCCCTCATGATTTGCATGTGTCTTGTCTGATTTAGATTGTGAGTTTCAGGCAGGGACTTGTCAGCATTGCAAATATTTTGGTGCACTGGTGCCTAGTCTGTACAGAGCTGTTTGTAAACATTAGATATCAATGCATTTCATAAAACATCTTTGTCACAAGCTTTTTCACTCCACCTAATAAAAGAGTGAAGTGCTGTTGTTTGATAGCTTGATTGTAGCAAAGAACTGAATCATCACCAACTCATGTAGTGATTTCTTTTGCTCCTTCACACAAGACAAAGTGTCTCTATTTCTTCCTCACTTTTCAGGTACACCTGAAGCCAATCAGGAATGTCAGTTTTCAAGATGAAGAGGAAATTGTTCGAATAAACCCTCGTGATATTTTAATACGCCGCTATGCAGACTATAGGCACCCTGACATGTGGAAAAATGACTTGGACAGGGAGGATGCAGACTCCTCGTTGCAGTGCCCTAAAACAGACCATAAAAAATCAGACTATTTGTACCCATCTGGGGATGGGACTAAGTTGAATTCACTCAAAGACTCCAAGGGTTCTGTGGTACTTAAAACTCAACCTTCTTCTTTCAAGTTAAAAAAATCAAAAAGGAGGAAAGAGGATGGAGAGCGATCCCGCTGCGTATACTGCCAGGAAAGATTTAATCATGAAGAGAACGGTCGAGGCAAATGTCAGGATGCTCCAGACCCTATTAAGAGATGCATATACCAAGTTAGTTGCATGCTTTGTGCCGAGAGCATGCTCTATCACTGCATGTCAGACTCTGAAGGGGATTTCTCTGACCCTTGTTCATGTGACACAAGTGACGACAAGTTCTGCTTACGATGGCTCGCCCTTGTCGCTTTGTCATTCATTGCGCCGTGTATGTGCTGCTATCTGCCCCTGAGAGCATGCCACCACTGTGGCGAGGTCTGTGGATGTTGTGGAGGAAAGCATAAAGCTGCGGGATGAACCAGCCTGAAGCCATATGGGGCTGACCAGTCTTTATTTTCAGGATACGTCTAACTCATGGAAGCATGTGGCAAGCAGAAGGGAAAACCTGTCATGAATGAGGAGCCTGCTATGGAAGAAGCAGCAGAACTTGTTGCAACTTAAGAATGTTGGCCATGCCTAATGATCTGATTTTAAGTGCATGGTGCAAGATGTGAAGGAGTTCTTGCAAAAGGAACACCTTTTTCTTATGATTGGTAGCTGAAATAAGTATGAACTGCAGTCAGTACTAGAAGGGATCAACTTCTGCAATGTGTACATTTTGTGGTTTAGATGATTTGGGGTGGGGCTTTTTGAAATAATCTATTTGACAGAAAGTTCAACTAAACCTGCACTAGTGACAGCTGATTTAAAACTAAGGAAAGTTAATATGGTGACTGCAAGAAACTAAAATTGATTTTAAGTGCAACTAAATTGCTTATAAATAGTTTTTGAAGCAACTTTATGTATAAATAACAAATGTTTATATTTAACTAAATATATGGTACGAATTATTAAATCCTTCCCCCTCCCCCCCCCTTCCGATTGCAAAGCAGTTATGGGCTGTATTTCCAGTCACATTCCGTGATAGTATTCCTCAATATTTAACTAATTAAGTTAGTAGCATTTCTATTCAAGATAAACAAATCAGTACTTTAAATCCTGTTTCCTCTTCAACTACATTTTTGTATCAAGTTCCCTCTATACATTCTGGTAATCAGAAAGCCTTTAAAATTAATTCATATAGTCTTGCGTGACCAATGTTTTGTTAAGCACAGGTGTAATTGTCTAATGCTGTTATGAGAACATAACATTTTATTTTTATATATATAAATGCTTCTGTAATGGCAAAAGGATTTTTTCCCCTCTTAACCAGCAAATTTTCTTCTAGTGTTCTTCCCAAAATCATTGTTGGTGACAAATATTTAGGGAAACCTTCATAAATAATTTATTTACTATTCTGTTAAACATGCTGCCAGTTTTTTCATCAAACTACAATGGGAGCAAAAGTATTTCCATTAATTTTAGCCTCATTAGGTTTTGCCTATCAAAAAATATTCTGCAGGACAAACTGTAGCACAGGAAGGGAAAACTGAATGCATATCTTGTGAATGAAAAGGGGTTTTACTTTGTTACTAAATTGTTGTAGCATATTAATAATGTATATTTAACTTAACAGTTGGCTGTGTTTTGCCGTTCTGGGGAATTCTTAAATGTCATCTTATCACATGGTATAGCAGCATAGCTGAACATAAAAGTTTTTAATGAATAAAACTCTAAAGCAGTGAAGCTGTCATTCATTCTAGAAGATAATCGGGGGGGTAAAAAAATGTCCTTAATATGTTCTTGTTATTAAAACTATTATATAGTTAATCTCACACTACCTTTTTTATTTCTATGCATTTTTAAGAAAGTTATGTGTTTATTGGGTTTTTTTCCTTCTGAATACATGTTGGCTTATAGAATTTCACCTGTACTTCACTTTCTCAAGCCCAGATCAAACACTGAACAGCTGTATATAACACTATCTGTAAAATACTTTTTTAAAGAAAAGCATTTATATTTATATGACAGCTTGAACTGACAAAATTGTGTACATAGATCATCTTGAAGTATTATTTCACATTGAAAAGAAGACAAATATATTGATAACTATAGAAGTTAAGAGCTTCTTTCTAGTTTTGTACTTTAAAAAACTGAATGGATAATAACCTAAATCAGCAATTATGACACTTGTAGCAGCAGTCTTAAGCAGTTTCTTTTTACAGTTTATATATTTGAAAGCTGCTACCCCAGTTGATTTTCATGCTTCATATATTCAGCTAAACTTGGTTACCTAGACAGACTGTTAACTTTAAAAAAAATTGAGGGAAATAACCTGCATTTGTTGGTGGCTTAAGAATTGTACCTTGTCAATAACAGTTATTAAAATGTTTTATTCTTAATTCAAAATAAGTATGATATCAACAAGTCCCAGAAAAGAACTTGCTGGCTGTACAGAAAAGTCCTGTAGAATTGTATCAAGTGTGTATGTATGTATGTACGTGTGTGTGTGTGTGTGTGTGTGTGTGTGTGTGTGTGTACTTTGGGAAGAGGCAAGTCTAACAATTTCCTACAAGCACTAACCAGCATAGTGCTACTCATGGTTTCTGTAGTGTATTTCATATGAAATCTTATATGCTTTAATATTTTACTGGAAATGTGCATTTATATTTTCAATCTGTATTTTAACCACTTTGCTGCTAAATATTTACTATTCTTTATTCATGAAAAATGTTATTCCTGATTTGTTAAAACAAAACAAAAGATACCGATTAATACACATAATTTGGGGGAAAAAATGTATTGGTTCAGTATCTAATCACATAGGTTGTGCGATGTAGGCCAAGATTGCTGGTTTAAACTCTGCTTTCAGGGGAACTTCTTAAATAAGGGCCAAACTAGATGATACTGCATCCCCAAGTCTATCATGGGGATGTGTTGTCATTTTAAAACTTGGTTTTTAACTTTTCAGATGACAGCAAGGGCCCAATCCTGCTGCGAACTATGGAAGGTGAGGGGCTGTCTCCCCACCACCACATACCATGTTCCCATTAAAAATCAAGCTGTAAAATAGTACCATGTCTCCATGGATGTGCTGTCATCCATTTTGACCTTGTGTGGGCAAATTATACATCTGATAAGATATATTCTATTGGATAAAGCTTTCAGTTCAGCCAGTATTTGCAATGGTTCTTCAAGCACTACCCATGAAATTCTTTCTCTATAGAGATCCCAGAGGTTGAGCCTAGGACTTTCTACATACAAAATGTGAGCTCTACTATCAACCTGTTGTCACTCATCCCTGGAGCCAACCATTGGAGCTCCATTTCTCACTCCACTGATTCTTATTCCTGACATTGGGCAGAGTTATGTGCTTAATCTCATTGATTTCATTGGGGTTCATGTGTTTGTCTCTAAATGGGATTGTAGTCTTTGTGCATATTTTGTCTTTCATCCTCTCTTTTAGAAAGGAAAGAAAGACTTTCAAGGGATATAGTAATGGGAGGCACGAAGACAAATAGAGAATGTTCGCTTCCCAGCCTGGTGAAAGCTGCTATTGGGGGGGGGGGGGTGTTTGATGTGAGCTGAAACAACTGAAACACTTGGATACCACCTACTGGACAAACATGATTTAGAAATAATTACTTCTATCATGTAACTTAAGAATAAATTACATTCTAAAATGTATGTTGGTCTAATGTGTAGCCAACAAGTTTCTTTCTTGTATTAGACTAAAAACATAGTTTCAGAATGGTAGTGGGATAGAAATCCTTTGACATTTACAGCTGTTTTGTCCATATGCCATTAAGCGGAAAGTAGTTGTGTTGTGTTGTGTTGGAGGTGCAGGACTATAACTTGAGAAGTATTAGTTGCTGAAATGGAAACACTTCAGTCCAAAATCAATATAATTAGAAGTTGAAAAAAAACAGCTCTCTTTGTCTTTCTGATGTACTTTGCCCATTTTAAAAAAAAAAGTACAAAAAGTGGCCATGTCTAATACTTGAAGTGTATCAGATCCCCTCCCTAACAAAGTTAGCTTTCTAAGACTTCTGCATTTTTAAGTGACAAAAATAAACTTGCAGCCATTTCATGCAGAAATACCTAGAATAGTAATTCTCAAAGTGTTTGGTGGGATTTCTTAGGTATGGGGAGCACCTGGAATATGTATCAGAAGTTAAACGGAAGGATGGGATTCTGAGGGGGACTGCACCTTTTCCTTCACCTTCCATGGCCTGGGAGGACTGAATGTCCTTCAGTGATCTGCACCCTCACTGCCTCGTCACAGCAAAATGATTTGGGAAGAAAGTTTCTCAGACACAGCCGCTCTGTTTTGTTCTTAAGCTGGTTCCTTGTGCATGGATTTTAAAAAGTTCAGACTGATCCTGTTGTATTTTAAAGAGCATCTTTGGTACTAGTGCATCCCAATACTGCATACAGATTCTTGTGGGATCTGGGAAAATACAGTCAATTTTAAAGTTCACAAAGTTTGAGAAATGCAGTTCTAGAGCACAGAGTCTGTGCTCTCCATAGGTTTCACTCCTTTTCCATCAGCCAAGCTAAGCTATTACAAAATGCACATAACATGCTTTGCACACTGGAATGTGACATTCCTATTTTTCTTCCTACAGTCTCTTCCTTAGGTAATATTTCCTTGTGTACAGTGGAGGAAAATCTTAAACTCCTATGTAAATAATGCACAGTTGTTTGTATTACACTTTCAGCCTCCTAGGAAAATATAAAACTCTCTATACAGAATGCCCCAGTGGTGCATATGCTCTTCTGGGAGAAGAATAAAGGAAGATGGTTCACTAGTCCAGTTAGTACTATTAACGATCAGCAGCCTCGTGGTTAAAACTTCCATATGCTTTTTGATGCACTGATTAAGTAGCATTCAATGGCATTTTTCTTCCCCTGAAAGCTTCTTAATTGCAATAGTTGTGGTTAGCTTTGAGAACTCAAATACACATAGTGGAAAAACTTTGTATTGGGCGCTGCAGTATAACCTGTACATAGGGTTTCCCCCCCTTTTTTGTTTGTGAACACTGCCTCTTTTTTTTTTTTTGCTTTGTGCCATTTGCTCTGCCCTATTGACCTCAAAAAGTGCCTCACTTGTATATTATTTCCATTAAAATCTTAAATGCTATATCTTTCTACTAAATGACGTAGATTTTAGTTTTAATTCCACAAAATAGATGTATTTCTTTTATGTATAAGAATATAGCTGGTTACCTTGAGTACATAATGTAAATATGCATACAAGTTTAACTGTTATCATACCCTTGTAAGTTGTCATACTGGATAATATCATAAACAGTTTTAAGTTTCAATGTTTTCCTGCAATTACCTGATTAAAACTATCATGAAATTAAAGTATACCACGTCATGATTTCCTACTTTTTTTTTTTTTGCAAATGTTAAGAATAGGATGAGGAATATGTTCTGTCATTTCAGAACTGTGTAGAATTATTTAAAATGGTGTATAATTGACCAAAATTAGTTACATCAGAATTACAATATCTTTATGTATTTAAGTAACAGAACAATAATAAGTCTGCTAAAGCAACAAGCCACCCATCAACAGAAATGAGGGACGGGAGCAGCCCACTTCTAAGTCCAGACCTACCAATACTCTCTTAATCCCCCAAATTTATCTGAAATAAAATTGTCTTGATTTAGGCTGTTAAGAGAGAAGACATGTAACCTGTGAGGCATCACTGAAGAAATGCTGTAAAGTCACATTTATTGTGGTAACCCCACCCATACTTTAGGGGTGCACACTGTTGGTTTTGTAAATTTGGAAGCAGTATTTAGAAAGCAGAAGTAGTATTAACCTGTCCTGAATCCACCAGGATTTTTCTTTTTGCAGGTGGAAGGGATTTCCACTAGCAAATCACAGGGCCGGCTCACTCACTAGGCGAACTAGGCATTCGCCTAGAGCAGGCGAGCTCTTAGGGGGCCAAACTGCACACACACCCCCAGAGGGAAGCCAGCCCCAAGTCTGCCTCTGGTGGCTTTCTCTGCGGACCCCGGACCCTCCTCTCCCCAGGCAAGGCTTCCCTTGGCGGCCAACCTCCATCCCTTCCAGCACCCGGGGAGAGGAAGGCCAGCGCGGGCAGGGGGAGGGAGCCAAGGGGGCCTTGCGGGGAAGCACCG